GAAAAATAGAGAAAACTCGCCTGAAGGTTTCGAAACGAAACCGACGCTTCAAGTTTTAATTATCTCTTCCAATTCCGACGTCCTCCTTTTCAGATCCGACCTCCTCCTTGTCAGCCATTCTTCTTCCTCTCTCTCTGTCTGTTTTATTTTTCTAACGTGTAAAACCTTTAACCCTAAAGTTTTATGTGTATTTTTATACACCTTAAATTCCAAATCCTATTCCAACTAGTATTATGAATTAAAATAATAACCTTTAAATAATTTATATCTATAAACATATATTATATATAAATATATATTCCTTCCATAATTAACTCATTAGTTAATTAAATCATATATACTTATAAATATCAATAAATATATATCTATATATATATCTTTCCATAACAATTATTAATTAATTATATTTATATATAATTATATATATATATATATATATATATAAATATAATTGATACAAAAGTGATCATTTAAATAATTAAATAACCACGGACCTTCATTAATTAACCCAATAAGGTTTCATACAAGCCCAAGACCACATCTTTTGGTCCAACTTTCCTTAAGCCCAATCCAATCAATTTAAATAAATAAGATAATTAATTAAATACAGAAATTAAAATAACTAATTACATGAAGCAAATAACAAACAAGAATTTACAACTAAGTCATATAATACCAATAAAATCAACACACTAATAATTCAATCAATAATCAACCACACAAACAATCAATCATCATACATAATCACGAAATATAACTTAATTAAAATAAGATAATTAATCTAGCACTCAATAAAATAAAATAAATCATTGAAAAATAAAATAAAATAATTAATCCTAATTAATAAATCTTTTAAAATTATCGGGGTATTACATTCTTCCCCCCTAACAAACGGAATTCCGTCCTCGGAATTCACAAATCCATGAAATAAAAACTTTGATTATTTAATTTCAAATTTCATTATTCCTTTTATCCGTGTGGAAATTAACCCATCCACACATATTCATTATTAGCAGATACATCACGTAATTAGCTAATTCCATATTTATATAATTGATAAATATAAGTACACACTAGAGACTCTCACTGGACTAAAGCAGTTTCAACCGGATAGTGGGTATCTCATGTAAAACGCACACAAAGGTGGTTATGAGTCCTCCTTCTACCAGAGCCCACACATCCTTAAACCCAGCTACCCATCTCAATCGGCAATATACGCGTCCATCCTAACCACCGATCCTGAGACTCAAGCTTATATCATGGCCCATATATGTGTGTGTGTATGTATATATATATATATATATATATATATATATATATATATAATCCATTATATCCACATAAAAGTAAACTATCCAACCATATTATTTCAATGGCATACCATCCAACTATTCCGTTGACCTGACACGAATAAGTAGGACTTAACGCTATGGTTAATCCGTTCCCTTATAAATATATAGGTAGGACTTAACTTCTTTGGTTAATCCGTCCCTGAAATACCACCGTCCCATACCGGTGTATTAAACCATACAATTCATAAATAAATAGGTAAGACTTAACTATTCCATTAATCCGTCCCTAAAATACCTCCATATTATTTTATTGGTGCATAAATCCATAAAACCCATACTTCAAAATCAGAGGAAGACTCAACGATTTATCAATACCTTCTAAATCGGTGTCTTACCATTTTCCTGATAAGACTCAATGATTTACCATTAGGACACACTAACGGACCGAATATAGAATACAATGAATCCTAAACTTAAGCTCTAAGTAAAAGAGTACACAACGCGGAAGTCACACAACGAAAGAAACCCTAAGGACACTTGAACCTGAAGTGCTCTGATACCAACTGTGATACCCCCTAATTTTGGAACACGAATTGATCAAGTCCGCGCACAAAATCAAGGGATATCAAAACAATTTAAGTATTTAACAAGCACAGAATACAAAGATGAATAATAAAGAATAAATAAACCGCTGAAGAAAACTAATAAATAAATATTACTTAATGATTCTCCAACAATTACAATTCGGAAATCCCATAACTCAAGGACCCCTTAAAACATTATCCAATAATCCAATACTATTTAAAAGTACACAAGATGAATAGACGAATGACAGTCTCCCAGCTGCGGATCCTCAACCTCGAGACTGGAACCTCTAATAACCTGAAAAATAAATCGTGGGTTAAACCCTACGAGCAAGTTCACTCTACCAGGCCTCTGAAAACCAATAAGCAGATCATCTCTGATCAAAACCAAACCTAATAAAGTTTTAACTTTAATAAAGCACGATATACATGTCTATATATAATTATATATACTATACTAATCACATCCATTAATAGGTTTATTAAATTTCCATACCTATTAAATAATTATTAAAATAATATTCATACCTAGACCAATCTACCATTTCATTTTATAAAAACTCCTTTGACCTTAATCCCATCCTAGTCAATTGTTTAATCATTTAAACAACAAATTATAATAAAAGAAATACTCTATTTAATCCTAACCCGATAATGATTTTAATTGTTTAAATCACATATCCAAAATCCAAGTTTTGACAAATCATCCACGTCTTCCCCAATATTATTTTATTAATGTAAAATAATACACTAACCAGTAAGTACTAAACTATTCTCATTTAAGAATATCTAACCCTAATCCAATCCATACATACAACAACCATAGATGATATTTTAATCATCTAACACATAACAACGTAATTATGCTTTGGCAAATCAACCATGCCATTGTAAATATTTTTATTTATATATTGGCAATTCAACCATGCCTCCATAAGTATATTTATTTATACATTGGCAATTCAACCATGCCTCCGTGTATGTATATTTATACATTGGCAATTCAACCATGCCTCCACAGGTATATTTATTCATACATTTAATTAGCAATTCATCCATGCTTTCCATATATGTATTCTATTCATACAAATATTTAGGTAATATATTTAATCATTTGACAATTCATCCATGCCCACACTTTAACCATGAATTAACTTTAAAATTAACAATACGCTAAATCATACATAGCCATCACATGCATATTATACGCATATCATTAATTTAACAACCAGCCTATTAAGATATGCCAAATAAGAATGATAATATTAATCATCTTAAATGATTTATATATATATCTACCTACACATATGTTATTTATATGTGTTTAACACCTTCTTTAATAATCCTTGATTATTTAAAATCAATATACATACATACATACATATATATATATATATATATTCATCCTTCCATACAACTCATAGACAAATTAAACTATATATACACATATATAAATAATTATATATATATATATATATATATATATATATATATATATATATACACTTCCTTCCATAACAAATTATTAATTTATTATATTTACCCAAATTAGTGCAACTAAATATGTCAGAAATAGTTTCCTTTAAATACTCCATACCGGTTTAAATAGTTTTCCGACACCGTCTCACTAAAACGTAAATATCTCTTATTAGGATAAGAATCTGATAATGAAATTGGTACCATTGGAAAGAGGACGAAAAATCCTTGAATTTGAGCTCAAGAATGACCCAATTTCGATTTAAAATGACTAAATTATGACCGTTTTAATTTCTAGTGTCGAATTAGGCCAACATAGTTTCCCACGCGCCCCCACGTGCTTACTATGCACTTGCACGCGCTGGATTCAAGCCTCCTTGTGTGCTGGTATTGGCTAAGCTCTTTCAGCTACCGTGAGTTCACCACACCGAATCCATCACTTCCTTTATGCCGCATCCAATGGTCATAAATGAGTGCGCAAATGAACACGCTCACACTAGATTATTTTCTATTAACTATAATAGATCTAAGGTCCAGATCAGCGAGTGCACCATCTTCTCATGGTCTGCAATACACCAAATAATCCCATAGTTGACCAGACCACTTCTATGGTCCAGATACACATGCGCACCAAAGTTTTATGCGCCGCGATGCACCATATCAATTCACATAAGTTTAATTAATCAAATGGCCCTAATTGGCGTATACACCCTATTATCCTACACCGCGCCGCACTGGATCAATTCTTTATTGTGCCGCTGCTCCACATGCGCCAGTTACCTAGTGTGTATATATATATATATATATATAATTATTTTCCTAACAAATAATAGGAAAATAAATCCTAATAAATTCCTAAAAATATCAGAAAAATTCCAAAAAATTACAGAACAATTCTAGAAAATAAAGAAACCATAATTAACTCTCTTGGGTCACAAATCCACCTATAGATTGATTTTAAAATATACATAACACCTATATATATCAATTAAAATCCAATAATCTAAAAATCAAATATAATAGTTTATACTTTTTAATTATTCCGATCTAACCATAATTTTTAAACAAATAAATTTAATTAAAACCTTGATACTCAAGGTGAAATCCTTATGAGTTCTAAGAGGAAAGTTAGAGAAAACTCGCCTGAAGGTTTCGAAACGAAACCGACGCTTTAACTTTAATTATCTCTTCCAATTCCGACGTCCTCCTTTTCAGATCCGACCTCCTCCTTGTCAGCCCTTCTTCTTCCTCTCTCTCTGTCTGTTTTATTTTTCTAACGTGTAAAACCTTTAACCCTAAAGTTTTATGTGTATTTTTATACACCTTAAATTCCAAATCCTATTCCAACTAGTATTATGAATTAAAATAATAACCTTTAAATAATTTATATCTATAAACATATATTATATATAAAAATATATTCCTTCCATAATTAACTCATTAGTTAATTAAATCATATATACTTATAAATCCTATTCCAACTAGTATTATGAATTAAAATAATAACCTTTAAATAATTTATATCTATAAACATATATTATATATAAATATATATTCCTTCCATAATTAACTCATTAGTTAATTAAATCATATATACTTATAAATATCAATAAATATATATCTATATATATATCTTTCCATAACAATTATTAATTAATTATATTTATATATAATTATATATATATATATATATATAAATATAATTGATACAAAAGTGATCATTTAAATAATTAAATAACCACGGACCTTCATTAATTAACCCAATAAGGTTTCATACAAGCCCAAGACCACATCTTTTGGTCCAACTTTCCTTAAGCCCAATCCAATTAATTTAAATAAATAAGATAATTAATTAAATACAGAAATTAAAATAACTAATTACATGAAGCACATAAACAAACAAGAATTTACAACTAAGTCATATAATACCAACAAAATCAACACACCAATAATTCAATCAATAATCAACCACACAAACAATCAATCATCATACATAATCACGAAATATAACTTAATTAAAATAAGATAATTAATCTAGCACTCAATAAAATAAAATAAATCATTGAAAAATAAAATAAAATAATTAATCCTAATTAATAAATCTTTTAAAATTATCGGGGTATTACAGTCATCAAGTTGCATGTGAGCATAAATAAGAGAGAATAGTAAGAAATTCTGAATTGTAACTACAATATTCCTGACACATGAAGACTGAAACCATGTATGCAACTCATTGTAAAAGACAAAAAAAAAAAAAAAAAAAAAAAAAAAGGTGCTATAAAATGAAGCAACAAATAATATCTGGATGGGTTGAACAATTTAGATTCACTGACACCACAAATATTCTTGCTAATATATGACTTCTAGGTTCTGTTATTTTCAGGAGTGACCTTAGCTCCCAAGGAGAAGAGCTAGCTCAGCTCAGCTTGCCAGTGACCTCAGTATCTCTCTCATCCACTTTGAGCTCAATAACAGCAGCTGGGCTGTAAGAGCGGGTTGCTAATATATGACTTCTAGGTTCTGTTATTTTCAGGAGTGACCTTAGCTCCCAAGGAGAAGAGCTAGCTCAGCTCAGCTTGCCAGTGACCTCAGTATCTCTCTCATCCACTTTGAGCTCAATAACAGCAGCTGGGCTGTAAGAGCGTGAGTCAGTGCGTCTTTCGGTTAAATCTCAAACCCGACTCTCCTGATGTGATTGCAGAAGCAGCATGATCAATATATATTCCTCAGTAATGAAACAGTTTTTTGGCGATCCCTCCAATAGAACTTCATCGCATAGTTGGAACATCTAAAGAAGTCTGCAAAAGTGATTCTTCCAATGGCAGGATAAACAGGGGTGATGACTTCTCAATTTTAGAATGTTGCTGATCCAATAGATAGGTCAGTTAGAGTAGTTTGCAGGGAAAATAAAATTTTAGAACTATTGGATCTCAAATGAAAATCCCACAAGAGTCATTGATATACAAGGTAGCCATACCTATAATATAAGCTTAAGGCTACTTTACCCAAGGTTGCGAGTACCATCACATTGTTTTGACAGCTGCATACTAAATCCTGGGAGGAAACTAACCAAGAACCTGTTGAATGTTTACGTATTCTCCAATGTGGGGTCTCCAATACTTTTCAGTTTTCACCAAACCAAAAAAGGGAATGGATGAAGAGGATAAATTCACCAAAGAGGGAAATCCTCAGTGCAATACTCCTTGGTACCGTTAAAGGTTGTGTCAATCTTGCCTATAATCCATGACTTCGGATTTTCTACACTTATTTATGAATCAAGACCCCTTGAAGGGTGGCTGGCAACCAAGAAGGAGCATGCTTTACATAATATGAGGAAGAAGTATGAAATCAGCCACAAATAGCAAATGCGAATAAGAAACTGAGATAAAAGAAAGCGCACCATATATGCACCATCTGTGAACAAAGGTTGCCAATGCAGTATAGGTTCAAGATCAAGCCTCAGTCCAGCAGTGGAGATTGCAGGGAGTCCAACAAAATTTCATGTCCCAACTTCATTTCTGTTTTCAGACAAAGCAAGATGGACTGGATCTCTACCCACCTCGCATTTCTCTTATCCGTAGCCACAAACACGTGTTTAATCCCACCAACAACTACACTGCTCCAACCAGCAGTCTTCTTCACCCCCCTGTCTTCCATGATTTCCCTGATCTTGTCTGAATATTTCCACCTCCCAACTGCAGCATATATATTAGACAATAGAACATATCCGCCCTCTTTCTCGGGCTCTAATTTTAGCAGCTCTCTCAAAGCTATCTCAGCTATTTCAACGTTTCCATGAGCTTTACATGCACTAAGCACCGCCCCCCAGATGGACCTGCTTGGTTGCATTGGCATCTTGTCAATCACAGATTTAGCCTCGGCCAGTCTCCCTGATCGTGCAAGAAGATCCACCAGGCACCCATAGTGCTCGACTCCTGGTTCAATACCATAGTTTTCTGTCATACTCTTGAATATTCTAAGCCCTTGATCCACAAGTCCTCTGTGGCTGCAGGCAGTGAGAACTGCAACAAATGTCACATGATTGGGTATTGCATACTTCTGCATCTCGGAGAACAAATCCAAAGCTTTGCTTCCATGACCATGGAATGCTAATCCAGTGATCATAGTTGTCCATAGGGTAACATCTTTCTCGGTTACTACCCTAAAAACCATGAGAGCTTTTTCAATATTTCCGCATTTGCAATACATGTCTATCAATGCAGAACCTAAAAAAGCATCTATTTTCATCTGCAATCTAACTACTAAGCCATGTAACTGTCTCCCTTGGTCCAGAGCTCCAATTTCTGCAGCACCAGAAACCAAGTTGACCATTGTGACACCGTTGGGCTGAACTTTCTCGGCCATCATGGAACTGAATAATTTTCTTACCATCATATAATCACCCTTCAGGGTATATCCAGCAATCAAAGAATTCCAAGAAAGAAGATCCCTACAAGGCATGGCATCAAAAATAGCATGGGCATGTTTCATTTCTGCTACTTTGGCATATCCAGAAATAATGGTGTTCCCCGAAACAACATCCCTCTCCACAAAAGCATCAAATAGCCTCCTTGCAAGGTCCATTTCTTTGCACTTCACATACATGTCTAAAAGAGCATTACCCAAGATCAAATTCCAAGACTTCATCAACTTTCTCCGCTCAAGCCACGCGTGAACCGACTTCCCCAATAGTGCATCACCCAGATTCCCACAAGACACAAGCAAACCAATCATTGTATACTCATCAGGCTCAAAGCCTGAACCCACCATTTCACAGAAATACTCTAGCGCTTCCAAGCTGTACCCTTTCTTTGCATATTCCACAATAACAATATTATACGAAACAGCATCTGGACTAGGCATTTTCCTAAACACCTGATGTGCAAGACCCAACTGTCCATTCTCCAAATACAATTTAATGAATGAATTCTGCAAATACCCAAAACTCAACAACCCAATAACAATGGCATGACAATGAATTTGCTTAACTTCTAGTAAACATTTTGAAGCTTGCAGCAAAGAAATGAGGGTATGCCCATCTGGGTAAACACAAGACTCGAGCATAGACTTGTACAGAGCAAATGATTGAATTGATGAGAAAGATGAAGCAGAGATCATGGTGTTGTATATATATAGATTGGGATGCGGAGTGAAGTGATTGAAGAGTGAAATGGCCATGTCTAGGTTCTCAGGGTGAGTTTTGGCTGAGAACAAGATGAGTCTGCTCATCGGAAAAGTTTGACCAGTGAGATTGTTCTTCATCATTTGAGCCAATATCTGTCTGAAATGGTCTCTTGAAGTGCAATTCTCGAGTGAAACAAGAGTTGGGTGATTGAGAGAGAGAGAAACTCTTGGATCCCAATTGGAGTTTTGGATGTTTGAAGCAGAAGTGAGAAAACGGACACCACGTCCATAGCGGTGCATGGATGGACATTCATGAGGTGCTTAGAAAGAGAGTGACTGTTTTGGTCTCCACATAACAAAATTGAAATTGTAGACCAACCATAGATTTTCTATGGCATTTTCAACAATAAAGTAAGTTTATAGATTACTAGAACAAGAACTCAATTTATTTATGTTGTTAATTTAACGTACCTGACCACGCTAAAATAGATATAAGATATAAGAATACTACTTGATCCACACTTATATCATCTATTCATTATATTATATATTTATATATATATCGAGGGGCGATATTCTCTACACTTGCCCTACAATTTTTTTTTTTTGTTTTTTAAAGTAAATGATGCGTAGTAAAAAAAGACCTCTAAACTAATTAATGCATCGTCTCTTGTTCTGTTGTTCTCTGACTACTCTTTGCACGGTAAACTTTTCCTTTTTACCTTCTTTATAAAATTGTACATCATCAAAATTTATTGTGGATATATATTAATTTAAATTTTATGTATTGAAATAAGCCTTATGTTATATTTGGGAGCATTGAATTGAGACCTTAGTAGATTTAGAATTTGAAGAAATTTATAGTTCAACATTATATTAAAATTTTTCCAACTTTAAATCCAACTATTTAATTCTCCCAAACGTTAGTGAACTAATTCATACATTTTGTTTTATTTGATTTTACAGTGAGATACCATTACATAAATGTAAACTTATACAACTATGGTAAAATTTCATAAATGTGGTGTAAGGAATTTGTCCAAATTAATGAACTTGGTCTTAAACCTTACCACACAAATAATAATAATAATAATCCATAAGCAATCAGTCGACAAAAAATTAAATTTTGACTAGTGCCATGGCATCTAAACCTTGTTGACTGTAGTGCTAACTCAAACAAATTGGACTCTCATAAATCTCCCATTAGCTGGAGTAAGTCTAGCCGTACCTCGGGTCTTCTCAACCCTAAGAGTAAAATTGAGTAATGCTATGGTGAGGACGCTCTTACTGTGCAAGTTCAAGATTAAAATAATACAAATACCATTAATCTCCTTGGAAAACCTGGTTATGGATTTTATAGGAAGCATATATATGACTTATAACCAGCTCCATCCAATGTGATGGAACAAACAACTTCCAGCACTCTTTTGAAGCAATTCAGTTCGAGAAATGTGCCAAAATGTGGTTCATATCCTTCCACTAAATAGGAAAAAAGAATAATAAATAATAGTATTTTTTGGCCAAGATTGAGCTGGCCTAATTGTTCCCAACTGATCACTCAAATTGAACAACCAAAACATGATTCAATTCATTTAAGCTACAATTCCCAACAGAAACAAATCTACATAGAACAAAATGGACTCTCTAACCGGTTAAGGCAACAAGACTAGCATAAGGAAATACATAAATTGTTTCAATATTTCTACACTCATGAGTTTTCTTTAGTGCTTGGAACCTTGATATCTAGTTTCTCCTCTTCACTGACTGCTGTAGATTTCTCGATGGAGGAATCTGAAGTAGAACCAGGTTCTTTTTTCAGCTCTGATTCGAACTCCTTTGCTGCCTGCACCAGTTAAAATATGTATTAATGCTCTGCAACTGTCATATGTTTAATCAATCAGGAGTTGTATTATTAAATAAAAACTTAGATAACTAGATTGATCACAATAAAGCTTTGGTATTGAAGCTGGTTAAAATCATCTATCAGAGAAAGATTGGCATCTGATCATAGTCTCTTGTCTCTTCTCTCTTCTTGGCAGTTGGTAATAATAAATGCATGAGGTTTTTTTAGTTATCGTTGAAATTTAATGTTCTCCTCCTAACAATTTGGACATAGTAATTAGAAACCACACCAATTTAATCAAACACATAAACAAACAAAAATGTAGTACTAAAATATTATGTAAAGGATGTCTATCAAATGATCGTGTTTTCTTTAATATACAAGTTGTCACGCATCCCGATAGGATCGAATTATATGTAGTTAATTGTTCTATTAGATAAACTTGGTAATTTTGGCGCAAGCATTAGCTTTAAAATGCTCTATAATTCCTTAAAGACTATCCTTGCATACAAAAGATATCATATACTGACTACTCTGGTATACAAAAGACCTACACGGTATACAAAAGACCTACATTATAGTTTAGTGAGCTAGGCAAGTGACCAAGAGAGTTTGTGAGAATTTAACACCTCAAGAGAAGATTACAACTCAAGTTATTTGGTGAGAGAAAATGAACCCCACCTCCTTATATAAACACTGGGATGGCTATTATCTGTACAAGTATCACTAATCCAATGGTAAAGAGAGTTCTAAAATTAGGTTCTAAAAGTGTCCACCAAACCATCTCTACAACTCTAGAAATATCTAGACAGTGTACAAGACAAGTCTAGAGAACTCTAGCTACTTTGTACAATTGTAGACAAGTTTAGACAACTCCATACTTCGGTAAAGAAATCCCGGAAGAATCCGCAACTGTGTAGAGAAGTCTAAAAAGTTCATGCTCCATGCAGGCTGCCATGACATGTCTGTTGTACACCTCCGTGATGTAACCTCTAGGGGCGGTGTTTTTTTACTTTTATTTTTTATTTTTATAGCGCATTGGTATATGAATTCAGACCTAAAACATGGTTCTTTAAAGGCCCAACCAAACACGATCATAAAAGAATCTACTTTTTCGAGCATTCAAAATTTATACAAAATTCTCCACAAGTAAAGTCCACATCCAATGTGTGTCGTTTTGTATCTATTATTTTTTTTTCTTTTCCCCTTTCATTCTTCAAATACCCATAGACAACCACAATCACATCTTCTTCTCTACCACTATTTTCAATTTTGTTACTGTTCAAAACAGAAAGCATGTTAAAATGTTAAATAAAGTGCACCCAAACAGGCTTACCAATAATACGAACAATAGAACTCACATACATATATTTATATGTATATATAGATCATGTATATCTATGTATGTATGTGTGTGTATATATATATATAACCTAAAATAAATCAGCAAAATAAGCTCCAAAAGTCCACAAATCAAAATCCCATAATTGAAAGATACATAATATATAAGAACAATAATTGAAATGTGAAGAGAGAGAACAGACCTCTTGGAAGCTCTTGACGGTCTTGCCGATGCTGCGGCCGACTTCGGGCAACTTCTTGGGGCCGAAAACAAGGGCGGCGACGCCGGCAATCACCACCAGCTCCGGCACCCCCAGACCGAACAAACAGTTGCAGGAGAGACCCCTTGATTTGGCTCTGGTTCGACCCAGAACCAGACTACGATTGACCCAGTTTTTGGTGGAGAGAGTATTGTTGAAAAAACAAGAATTCGAGGCAGAGAAGGAAAGAGACGGTGAAGCACTTCTTCGATTTGTTGTAGCACAAGGTAGAGAGAGAGGGAGAGTTGCAGATGAGATTGCTATCTCCATTTTTGCTTTGATTTCTTGGATTGATTTTGGTCAGCTTTGGTATAATTCTATCAAACTGCGTTGAGTAGGAAAATTTGAGAAAAGACCCAAAAATGTGGATAATATAGTCATTGGATGGTGGCTTATGAATGGACGACTTAAGATATGCTTTGGGTTTTCTTTGGGCCTGGGCTGCAAATTTTCAAACCCAAGTCCAATTCATCATTTATATTTTATTTTATTTATTTATTTTTCACGAATTAAGCCACTCCCTAGCCACATAACTATAGGATGATTTATAAATTTTGAATATTCGCAATCGCTCTCAAATCACATGCATTATTTAAGTTCAAACCTGATGAGTCTTGAACTAGAGAAGTAAGAGGAAAACCCCCACCACTCTTTTCCATTCAAACTCTAGAATGACGGACGCATACTTCACTTATTTTATTCAAAGAAAGAGAGTTGTACAACAAATCACTTTTATGATCAAAGATTTTCTACCGTTACGTGAAGAATGTGTAACGACAAAAATGACTATGATCACTCATTCATGTAAAGACTAAATATCCCAACTCCACTTTCAGACCTTTCGATTTATTTAAAAAACAAATGAAGTGCCAGAATATACTTAAAAGAATGAGAATGAGTTAGGTTCTTTAGTGCGCAATTTTGACTCCTAAGCAGTAGAATTGATTATAATTCAATTCCTGCCATCAGCAAGAGGGTAAGGATAGGTTACAATTCAAGCAAGATGGACTGTCAAAAAGGATTAGGGCCAAGTTTAGAACTATAAGGATCGATTAAAACAAGCAGAGCATTCCGATAACCGTGTTAAAATACAATTTAAAATATTGCAGAGCATCCGGACTCTTGGAAACTTTTTCCTCTAAATTTACGTAATTTAGATTTAATTTCAATAAATAGGGAGGGTTACAATAGACTTGGTGGTTCTAAAACCATGTTTGGAACATTATCAAAAAAAATTTTTTTTTTTTCCTTTTCTTTTAACAAACCTGGCACAATATTGCTCCAACAAGAAATGGGAGAAAATGAGAACATATGCCATCTAAACTAATGTCCATTAATTTGAAATATCATCATTGTGAACTGAAATTTATTTTATCTTTAACATGGCAAAACAACTAGTTTTATTCAACAGAATCAAAAACAATCCAACTCAACATCCCAAGCACGCAATGCGAACTGGTAGACCATCAAGCGCATGAAATCCAATCCTAAGTTGTCTACTAACAAATACTTCCCCCCAATGATATCTATGTCGTTAACTAATTATATCACGTTACAAAATCACTATGTGCTAATTTTTAATTAATTAATAATTCATGTCATTAATATAACAGAAGCAATAAAACATCTCTGGTTAACCGGTTGAGCATCACCTTCAAACCATTCTCAACTGCAGCCTTCCTTACATCTCATAACACCATGGTTACATAACTCATATACCCACTTAAAATGTATAAAAAAATTTAAAAAATTGGTCAACTAAATTAGTCTAAATGAATAATTAGTCTTTCTTTTTTTTTTTTTTTTTTGGTTTGAAATTTTTTATGGAAATGACACTTTTCTCTGGTGAGATCAAAAAATATAGAGGTAACTACCTAATACATTTTTAGGAGAAATTATTTGATAGCCTTAGAACCATTCTCAAAACACTCTAGCTAACCAAAAAAATTGAAGTAAAAGAGTTTAGTAACAACACTAAGCACGTTACAAACAGGGGCAGAGGGAGAGGGGGGCCAGGGGTGGCCATGGCCCCCCCAAATTTTTGGCAAAATTTTAGTACTAGTACTAAATTATATATATTCATAGTAATTTTTCTATATAAAAATTAAATTAGCCCCCCCAAATTTTTTGTAAAATCTATTTAAGGTACTAAATTATACGTTTTGATGGTAATTTTTCTAAAAATTAAAGTTGGTTCTTCAAAATTTTTGTAAAACCTTATTTATGGTACTAAATTATAATTACTAATGGTGATTTTTATATAAAAATTATAGCTTGTCTTTTCCAAATTCTAAAAAAATTTCTATTTATGGTTTATCTTATGATTATTGAATGTTTTTTTTTTTTTTTTTTGATAGATATGGTTTGTGAATGAAATTACTTATAACCCTTCAAATTTGAATAAACCTATTGCTTTAATAAATTCAAAATATAGTAAATAATAATAATAATAATAATAACCATTATTATGATAATCCTTATTCTAACATACTTTATTTATAAGCATATATATATTATTTGTTTTGAATTAGAGAAAAGAAAAAAAAAATACTATTGACACTTGAAAATCTCAACTGTTCTTAATTTGCTCTATTTTTTTTTTCATATCATCTATAAACACATGCTCTTAATGTTAAAAATGAACTAAAAAAATTACAAGTATTTTAAATTTTTTTTTTAAATATGAACCCATCCACTTGGGGTTATACATAGCATGCCTTCAGACTTTCTCGGTAACCAAACACGAATTGGTTGCAGTTCCCCATCACATTTACGCATTGTAAATCCATATCATACTCCCCCAAGTGTTAGTTCCAAAAAGAAAATTCCCACCATGACCTTTGGATGACTCCAAGTAATAAATGCCAACCATTCAAACTCTTTGTTCTCCAAGTAATAAACGCATTGTAAATCCATATCATACATACATTACTTGTGAAGATTGTTTCATCGGCTTTAAAATGACAACAAAACAGTGGGTTCATTTCTCTGGAGCTTTCATTGAAGCCACAGTCATAGACAAGGCCTGTGTGGTTGATGGTTGGGTCAGTGAATTGTATTGAAATATATATTATATATATATATATATGTGTGTGTGTATTATATTCGGTTCCCTTCTCCCTTCTTTCCTTAATATATTATACACATATATTATATTATGTTTCTTTTCTTTTCATTTCTTTTGTCAACTTTATTTCATATATATTGTATATCAATACAATATACATATCAAGAAATACAATTAAGAAATGTAGTTTCAGTGGCTCTTGACCCATGGATGTGAGCCTTAGTACTGAACCATATATATGCTGTATTATCTCTCTCTACACTTTTTTAGGGTTCTTACTTCCTCTTCTTCTTATATTCTCCGTCTTTGTGATACCTCCTAATTTTGGAACACGGGTTGATCAAATCCGCACACAAAATTAAGGAATATCAAAACAATTAAAGTATTTAAACAAGCACAGATAACAAAATGGAATAAAGAATAATTAAAACGCTGAAGAAAATTAATAAACAATAAATCCATTAATAATTCTCCAACATTTACAATTCGGGAATCCTGTAACCCAAAGACCCCTTGACCAAAATCCATTAACCAAAAGTTCACTATTAATTACTAATATCAAATGAAACGATAATAATATCCTACTTTTAAATAAAGCGAAAGAGTGGATAAGTCCTCCAACTGCGGATCCTCAACCTTGAGATTTGAACTTCTAATAATCTGAAAAATAAATCGCGGGTTAAACTTGACGAGCAAGTTCTCTTTACCAGATCTCTGAAAACCAATAAATAGATCATCTCTGATCAAAAACAACCCTAATAAAGTTTTAACCTTGATATACCATGATATATATATATATATATATATATATATATATATATATATATATAATTAATTATATACAGTATAACAATAACATCTATAGCCAGGTGCATTAACTCCAAAACCATTATCAATGATTAAATAATAATTTTATCTAGTCCAATCCATAATTTCTTTTTAAAGAAACTCCCCTAACCTTAATTCCATCCTACACGGCAATTTAATAATTTAAATAACAAAATATAATTTATAGAATATTACATTTAATTCCAAAACCAATAATGATTTTAAGTATTTAAATCTCACATATCTAGACTTTGACAAATTATCCATGTCACCTCAGTATTATTTTATTAATATGTATAAAATAATACACTAACCTATAAGTACTAGACTATTCTAATTTAAGAATATTTAATCCTAATCCACCTTATACATATAATAATCATAGATGATATATTTTAATCATCAAACATATAGCCGTATAATTATACCTTGGCAAATCAACTATGCCATTATAAATATATCTATTTATATATTGGCAATTCAACCATGCCTCCTGAAAGTATATTTATTTATACCTTGACAATTCAACCATGCCTCCTTAAGTATATATTTTATACATTGGCAAATCAATCATGCCTCCACAAGTATATTTATTTACAAATTGGCAATTCAACCACGCCTCCATAAGTATATATATTTATACTTGTAAACTAGCAACTCATCCATGTTTCCTATGTATGTATTTTATTCATACAAATACTTAGGCAATATATTTACTCCTATGACAACTCATCCATGCCTACAACTCAACTATGTATCAACTTTAAACTTAACAATAAGCTAATTAATACATAAACATCTCCTGTGGATGATAGACATATCACAAATTTATTAACCAGCCTCTCCAGATATATCAAATAAAAAAAATAAGGATAATCATCTTAATTGATATATATACCTATACACATATATCATTTAATATGTATATATGTGTATAACTCATTCTTTAATAATCTTTGATTATTTAAAAAAAAACCATATATACATATTTATATATATATGTAAATATATACCTCATTCTATATGAAAATTAAATCAACCATGTATATTTATACATATATAACTCTATATACATATATACACCTCCTTGTATGGCAAAATATTTAATTAATTATATTTACGCCAATTAAATGTTACTAAATATCATAGCAACACTCTAAAGCTCTCAGAACACTAAGAACACACCCTCTAATGGTTTATTTTAATCCTAACAAGCTTAAAATAAATTTTGCTAATTCACCGAACTGCACAGGACCCTAAGCAGTGCCTCACGCTCCCCCACGCGCCACTACACGCGCCTAAAGCCTCTGAACGCGCCTCCACGCGCCACCTAGCACTGGCAGCTGACCTCACGCACGCTCACGTGCTCCTACGCGCCAGATCCTCCCCCTTGCTGATGTGGCATGCTACCATTTGCTAGATGCAACCTTGTCCTTATGCGGCGTCACACAGGATCATCTCACCGCATCTCCATACGTCTCCATGCACCAGTGCCACATCAAATCAACTCTCCCTTCAATCAGCCACATCTAAGGCTCAAATTTGTGGCACACTAATCCTCCATACACCCGTATCACACCGAATTAATCCATTATTGTTTTCAAAGCACAATGGCTCTAATTCACAAGCACACAAGGTTATATTGTGCTGCACCACACCGAATCAGACCCCCTATTGATGCGCCGATTAACCTAGAGCCTCCACTGTATAAACAGTAAAAATTATACTAAAATAATTATACAAAATTAAAAAATACATATAAAACAAATCCAGAAAAATATATAGAAAATTCCAAAAATTATAGAAAAATTCCAGAAACTCTAAAAACCCTAATTAATCATATTGGGTCCAAGATCAACCTATAGATTAATTTTTAAAATATATGCAACACACATATATATCAATTAAAATCCAAAATTCCAAAAGAAAAAATATATATATATAATAATTTAGACTTTTTAATAATCCGATCTACACATGATTTAATCAAATAAATTTAATTTAATGCTTTGGTTAATTCGTTCTATCCATAACTTAAATTAATTAATTTAATTTAAAACCTTGATACTCAAGGTGAAATATTTATGAGTTCTAAGAGGAAAGATAGAGAAGAACTCGCCTGAAGGTTTTGAAACAAAACCGATCCGTCAAGACTCTTCGAATCCCGACATCCTCTTTCTCCGATTCGGTCTCCTCCTTGTCGACCTCCTCTTCTTCTCTTTCTCTCTACTTCTCTTATTTTTCTAATGTATAAACTTTTTAACCATAAACCTAATGTGTATATTTATACACATTAAAACCTAACTCATATTCCAGCTAGGACTACTAATAAGATAATAATCTTTAAATAATATAATATATATATACGTATATTATATTACACACATATATATATTTATCTTCCATAATTAACCGTTAGTTAATTAAATCATATAAACCTATATATATCCATAAATATATATCTCTATATATATCTTTCCCTAACAATTATTAATTAATTATATTTATATATAATTTTATATATTTATAATTAATACTAAAAATGATCATTTAAATAATTAAATAACCATGAGCCTTTATTAATTAACCCAATAAGGCCTCATTCAAGCCTAAGACCAAATCATTTGGTCTAACTTCCCTTAAGCCCAAATTCAATTAATTTAAATAAATCAAATAATTAAATAAACACGTAAATTAAAATAATCTAATTACATGAAGCACATAAACAAAATAAGAAATTACAACTAAGATCGCAACATACCAATAAAATCAATACATCAATAATTCAATTAATAATCAAGCACATACACAAACGATTACCATATATAATCACGAAATATAATTAAAATAAAACAATTACTCTAAGCACTCAATAAAATAAATCAATTAAAAATTGAAATAAACTCAATTAATTCAAATTAATCATTTAAAATAAAATAAAAGTAATTAATTTCAATTAATAAATCCTTTAAAATATCGGGGTATTACAGTCTTTCTCTGCACCAGTTCGTGCTTTTACATTTATCACTTTCCTATTATTCTCTTAATATACACACACAAACACATTGATTTAGTCTTAAGTACTGTCAATGGCGGATTTCATTACTTAATTTAACATTCCTCCGATCATGTCTTCGTCTTCGTCTTCTGGAGTTGCCAACGACAACTACGAAGACGCTTGCAGTATGTGTCTCGAGCCTTTCAACACCGATGATCCTGCCTCTATTACCAACTGCAAACATGAGTATCATCTGCAGTGCATTCTTGAATGGTCACAAAGAAGCAAAGAGTGCCCAATATGTTGGCAGCTGCTTGTCTTGGAAGACCCTGCCAGCCAAGAACTTCTAGCTGCAGTGGAGAATAAAAGGAGTTTGAGGTCAAGGCACAAAATTCGTCACACCCATGGGGGCTATGAAATTGATCGTAAAGCTTTTGCAGATGATTCTGATTTTGATGAGCGTATTATGCGACATTTTGCTGCTACAACTAGTAGAGCTTGTTATGTTAATAAAAGGGAGAAGGAAACATAATATAATACATATATATAATATATATTTCAATAAAGTGAGGTCTAAATACAATGGTCAACCAATCATGACAGGACTTGACTGGGAACGGTATCCTCCTATGTCCATGGGAGAGACCAACAAAACAGGCACAATATTAATGCAACTGTGTGTTGACACTAAGTGCCTCATAATCCAACTCTTCTACATTGACTATATTCCTCAGTCCATCAAGTGTTTCCTCACTGACCCCAACATCACTTTTGTTGGGGTTGAAGTTGGAGATGATGTTGTGAAGCTCAGGGTTGGGAACTCCAGCACTCGCTCCGCGAACATTTAGGCTCTGGCAATGGCGCATTGACCATGGAGGTTCTATCGAAGCCTGGCCTGAAAGAGAATGGATATTTGGGGCTTAGGATGAAGGTCTCAGGGCCAGGACTTGATGAAAGAGGTGTTTGTGGAGAAGACCGCTTGGAGCTAGTAGCATTAGGTGGTTAAAAAGGACATTTTTATCAGACACTATTTTAAAAGTTGGCACATGACACGCACGTGCTATTCATAATCGTTAATATTAAATCATAGAGCTCAATTTTGACATTTTACATGTTAGTTAACAACTCCGCCACGAAATGGGATAAAACAATTACTTTTGTTAGTTGTAGGGTATCACAGAGGCCTAATTTTGTTAGTTTTATTTTTATTTTTATTATTTATTATTTTTATTTTTTTTATCATGAATAAAACAGATGTTTCGATATCCCAGTGGATTAATGCCTCCGGTAGATTTTAGAGTGCCATGTTTCGACTCTTTGCATTTATTAATCTAACTTCTAACACTTCTTGCCTTCTAAAAAAAAAAGAAAATCATGAATAAATTTTTTTGTATAGATGCTGTATAGATGCCATAAATAATAAGCTGAATTGGTTGGATTAACGACTTAATCACGATTCATCTATATGGTTTTGAGTTAAGCACGGTAAATAAAGTGTAAATATAAAGACTATATTTTGTTCATCTGTGAAAGTTTTATAAACAAATAAGTGTATGGGTTTCTTAAATATATATATACACATATATATTAGGATTTACACTTTGATTTTTTATTTTTTAAAAAAGAAATTTAGAACATTATAAAGCAAAAAGGTACAAGTAAATATGTTACATTAAATAATAATTGTTCTTAAATTTGTTTATGTAATGAATGGCCTTATGGCTCAGTGTTATCTCATTTATCTTCTAAAATGAATGATGAGGATTCAAGTGTATAGAGAAACAAAATAAATATGTGAGTAGCGTGTAAGTTTCTTGCGGTGAAAAAAAAAAAAATGAATCTTATGTGTCATATAGGGCTGTGGTATAGTTTAGGATTATAGTAGTGGGAAAAAAAAAATTTAGATGAGGATTCAAGTGTATAAAGAAACAAAATAAATATGAGTAGTGTGTAAGCTTCTTGCGGTGAAAAAAATATATATATATGTATCTTACGTATCATATAGGGGTGTGATTTAGTTTAGGATTATAGTAGTGGAAAATACAAAATTTAGATGAAAAAGAGAAAAGTAAATAAAAATAGAAAAAATATGTTAGCTACTCCGTTATAAGCTTTTGCTTCAGCCAAAATGCTCTCTCATCAGCATCATCACATTCATGAGCAAGGGCGAATGTAGGGGTGAGCTTGAGCTCACCAAAAACAAAAAAAAAAATTATTTACTATACTAATTTTAGCCCAGTAAAAAATATATATATTAATAATATTAACCCACTCCAAAATTGGTCACCCAATCAAGCCCAAGTCAACTCAGCCACCATACTAAAATAGAGGCCCAAGTCAAATAAGCCCAGGGCCGGCCCTGACCCAATCATTTCCTCCCCAATCGCCTCCATCTCTATTCTCGCTCTCAGCTCTCAACTCTCGACTTCTGAACTCTGAACTCTCAACTCTCAACTCTCAACTTGCCCCCTCTCTATCTCTGCAACTGCAAACTACAAAATCTACAAGAATCAGAAGTTCAAAACCCATAGGTTCGCCGTTCGCAAGCTTCAGCCGCTGGCCCGCTGTCTCTCAACTCTCAAGCTTGCCCCCCTCTCTCTCTGCAACTGCTAACTTGTATGTATGGGTTTTGTTTTAATTTTTTTTTTAAATCAACTAATCAAGGTCTGTAATTCTTGTTTTGCAAACTAAATCCTATTTGGTGAAATTTTTTATGATCTTTTATATATATATATATTAATTTTATGAATTTTAGTTATAAATATTTGTGAAGATAATGACTGAAACAGGATCTCCCTTTGCAGGATTTGAAAGACTAATTGGTAAATTTGGGTTGAACTTGAGTCTTGAACAAGCTGAAGGCCCTTATCGTGGATTATAATTTTTACAATTACAGCATCCTACGGTCCTACCATCTTTTAGAGTGCTTTCATCAGTATAAAGCACAACAAATTGGATCAATTGATATTCAAGGTAAGTCATTTCTTCAATTATTCAATCAATATATATAATTTTTATTCCAGATTTTTTCATGCTAATAATAAATTGGATGTTAACCACATAAGGCATAAATCTGTCAATTAATATGGGCACCCAATTGTATATGAAACAGAGTACAATATAAAGTAACAAAATTTGTTAATATATAAACAACAAAATTACTTAATATAGGGTAAAGCTCTAAAGCTACTTCTTGAAAATTAAAATACTTATAAAAAGCATGCTTTTGAGTGAATTCCATACTGTTGGAAGGGGCTTGCCGTGAACTACCTCACACTCTGCTTCCACTCGTAGATTCTCAAATAGGATTAGTAAATTGGTCAAAAGAAGAGAGAGGATATTGAGTGGTGAATTGGTCAGAAATAAATTGGTAATTTTTTTTATTAATTACCCAAATAGGATTTTCTATGCCTTAATCAGTCAATTGTCTAAAGAAACATTGTTAATTAACTAAAATTGAATTAAACAACAGTTGGCTTTGGTGGATATATTTTGATTTAGGTATTTTTAATCTAACTCATTCTTTAATTTTATTAGGTTAAAAATAATAATGGTTCAACATCAACCTTCAAACAAGAATGTGAAAAGTATGTCTATTCTCTCATTCTATCAAAAGAGAGGCCAAATGAGTGACGATGGTCAATCAAAAAAGGATATACCTCGTGGTAGTGCATCTAACATTGACGATGATCAATCTAAAAAGGATATACCTAGTGATCTTGATTTGCAACCTCCTGCCTCAAGTTGTTGAACCCAATCAACTTCACTCCACTTCTATTGAAAGAGATCCTGGGTTATGTATTCAAATACATGAATACCTGGTTAATTAAATGGATGAGGTTAGAAGAGCTTTTTTTTTTTTTTTTTTTTTTTTTTTTTTTTTTTTTTTTTTGCTTAAAAAATTTTGTTATTAAATTGATGTTTAATATTAACCCACCCCATTGAGAAATCCTGGATCCACCCTTGCTCGTGAGCGCCTAACATTAACAACAATCAGGTGAGTTCTTCTCAACAGTGTCTATCATCTTTCATTACCAATGATTTATATATACAGTAAAACCGTAGTTCGTTTTAATTGCTCGTGTTCTAGATTCAACAATCCATAAACTGTTTCAATCTCTCAAATCCATCTCAACTTCCACGAATCAACACTCATTTACAGTCAATTACCTTGTAAATTCATGTGGGTTGAGTCCAGAAACTGCTATTTCAGCCTCCAAAAAAATCAATCTCAAAACCCTAGACAAACCAGATTCAGTTCTCAACTTGTTCAAGAAGCATCCATTCAGCAAAACCCAGATCTCAACTGTCGTCAGAAAATGCCCAAATTTTCTCTTATTTGATACCAAGAAAATCTTTTTGCCCAAATTCGAATTCTTTTACTCCAATGGCATTTCCGGCACCGAGCTCATGAAATTGGTATCCTCTGATCCAACTATATTGACATATAGCTTGAAGAACCAAATCATCCCATCTTTCAATTGGTTGAAGAATTTAATTCATTCAGATGACAAGTTTATGGCGGCCTTTAAACGATCCCCGGCAATTTTAGGGCGTGACCGCAGAGCTTTTACATTTCCGAATATTGAAATTGAGAGAACATGGCGTGCCAAAGTCGAATATTGTGTACTTAATTACTAATCAGCCTAGGGCATTCATGAGAAATCCTGATAGATTCAATGAGGTAGTGGAGGATGTTACGAAAATGGGGTTCAACCCTTCGAAATTCCAGTTTGTTGTGGCTGTTGGTGCATTGTTTGCGATGAGCAAATCGACATGGAAAAGGAAGATGGAGGCTTATGAGAGGTGGGGTTGGTCTGAGGAAGAAACAATATCGGCTTTTATAAGAAGTCCACTTTGTATGGCAATATCCGAGGAGAATATAATGGCAAAGCTGATTTTTTATGTCAACACAATGGGTTGGGAGTCTTCCTGAATCGCCCATGATCCAGAATTGGTGTTACTGAGCTTGGATAAGAAGATTTTTCCTAGGTGTTCGGTATTTCAGGTTTTGTTGTTGAAAGGTTTGATTAAGAAACCCGTTAGTGTAGTGAAATTGTTGAGGTCCAAAGAGAGTTTGTTCCTCATGAAGTTTGTGACCTGTTATGAGGAGGAAGCTCCTCAGTTGTTGGAACTATATCAAGAAAAATAGGGCCTTTGAAAATTACAGGGTCGTGATCAGCTGTAGAATATCTACTTCCTTTTCCACCATCCGTTCTCACACCACCAGTTTTTCAAATTAGGTTGTTATGAACAATTTTTTGTCCCTTGGATGTTAATGATCTTAACTCAAATTTTTTTGGTTAGTATTTGTTTGATTTGTTATAAAATGCTTAGATATTTTGTGCTGCACTAATATATTTTCCGTCAATCATGTATGTGATTAGCTGAATGATTCATTATTTTTTGTGCAATTCTTGACTTTGCGAGATCTTCTTAATCTTTAATTTGAAGCAGATAAACTCACTAACAGTCATGTTACTGGAATATCCTCAATTTAATTCAGTTCTGCTTAAAGTGGTGTACACAAATAGCAACTATTTTCAGAGTAGCTTCTTTAGTTTGATGGACATTGTTCATTTTTGTAAACAAAGTGCCCAGCTTCCAGTGCAGAATGGCTAATTGCAGGCCTTATAGCTTAGTAAAAGAGTCTGTGCGCTCGCGCTCACACAGATATATATCACTGACCTTGACATTAGCTTAAGGAGTTTGCCAGAAGAAGTATTTGAAGAAATATAAAAATTAAGAAAATAGCAACTGTTTTCAGAGTATAGCTTATTTAGTTTGATGGACATTGTTCATTTTTGTAAACCAAGTGACCAGTGGTCATCTTCCAGTGCACAGTGGCTAATTGCAGGTCTTATAGTTTGGTAAGCACATATGTATCACTGCTACCCTTGACATTAAAGGCTCCATTTGTTTCGACCTAAAAAAATATATTTTTTTTCAGGAATTTTTATTATTTTTTATTTTTTATTTTTACTTTTTTTGGCGAAGTTTTAGGTCTAGGTGGAGATTGAGGTTCAGTAAATAATTTGCCAAAAATTAATGGGTAAGTTATTTTTGTTTGGTTTTATTTTTTTTTTTTCTTCGTAAATATTTTACGAAAACCAAGCACCAGAAATTTTTTTTAAAAAAAAAAAATTTGAAAAAAATTTTATATCCAAACAAATGTCTGCCAGAAGTAGTACCTGAAGATAATTTATGAATTTAACATCAGGGAAGTCAAGTTAGAAGGTACGGGTCCCAAGGGGCATTGCGGCGTTGGCAGGGATCCGGGAGGTAAGTCCTTGAGGTCTCGCTTTCGAACTGCACTTCTGATTTGGATGGTGTGTGTGTTGTGGGGCTAAAACATGTGCTCTAAGTAGTAAAAAGAATAAAAAAATAAAAAAGGGTAGAAGGTACAGAAAATTTTGACGGCCATCTCCCGCTAGTTGATAGTAATTCGCAAGATGACCTTGCAAAATTTGCACACTAATATATTGCTGGTGTAGACGAACAGTAATATATGACCTATTTTAGATCAGCTAACTTTTGGTGGATATTCTAAATTGAGCTCTTAGAATTCATGGGGACCTGACAAAGGTGAAAGATAATGGGATATTTGGGGAAGAGGTGCTTGCGGAGAAGACGACTTGGAGCTGGCATTAAGTGGTTCAAAAGGAAATTTTTGTCATATGATATTTTAAAAGTTGGCATATTATAAGCATGTGTTATTATTATTATGATGTTACTTTTTGACAGCAAACAAACAAATTGGAGTGATAGGATGGATTTTTAAAAAGTTATGAAGTTGTAAGAAGGTTTTTTTTTTTAGTATAGGGGTTATATGAACATTATGAATAGTATAGGTAGACTTTCTGATTTTAACCACACCGTTAAACATAGAAGTCAATTTTGTCATTTTATACGTCAGTTAATAGTTCTGTCATAATTTTTATTTATTTTTTATGGCAAGAATATTTGGAATTAGCGGTAGGAGTGACAATAATACGACTCGAACACAGACAAGAGATAAGTGAGTTTGGCTTAATCGTGTTCGTGTTGTAATCGTGTCGATCCGAATTGACACGGTAAATTAAACGTGTCGTATTTGTGTTTAACCTGCCAACCCGTTTATAACCCAATTAACCTGTTTAACTAAACGTGCCAGATAAACGTTTCATGACTCATGTTCGTGTTAAAAATGACCCAATTAGCTAAACTTGTTGAATAAACATATTGTGTTAATGTCAAAAATGTGTATAGACGTCGTTTCTTGTCGTGTCAAGTCTTTGGGTTACGCTTGTTGTGTTGTGTTACGTGTGTAATAATCACGTCAGGGTTTCTTGACACGAATAATAATTGTGTCATGTTTTTGTCCACTTATATAATAGAATACACATACTCTGACGCGACACGAACACGATCCGCTGGTTAGAGGGGAGGGTGCAAGGTTTTAACCCAACCACGCAAGCAACATGACTCTTGCGTTCTGTCACGATGACTATTGTTAGCTTTGGGTTTCTTTGTTAGTTGAGGGAGTTATGTGATGATTTTTTATAATATAAGGAGTTTTATGATTTAACCCTTAAAATTTAATTCTATTTTCTTATATAGAGAATTATAAATTAGCCAAGCATTTTGAGCCTAAGTCATGACTCGTTGTTTATGATGAGATAAAAGAAAAAAACTGATCACATTTATTTATTTTAGAAAAAAATTAACTAAACTCACTTATTAGAAAAACTTTAAATACCGTTTTTTTATCATGGAAATAATATTGAGATAAAATCTTTTGTATAGAGGCCATAATAAGTCGAGTTGCTTGGACTAAAGACTTAAACCATGATTCATTTAGACGATTTTGATTATTGATGATAAGCTCAGTAAATAGAGTGTAAATATTACGATCGCATTTTGTAATCTTTGCATGCTATGAAAATAGAAAAGGTACAAGTGTTGCAATTTAACAGATTTTTCATTATCTTTCAAATTAAGAGGTGAACATTCAAGTCCTCCTAAAAGCAAATTAGTTTCTTGTTAATGAAAAAAATTATATATATATATACACACACACAGAGAGAGAGAGAGAGAGAGAGAGAGAGAGATTAGAATCCACACTTTTATATATATATTTTTTCTTTTTTATAATTTTTTGAACCATGTACAGTAAAAAAGTGCATATACATAAGCTGACACTCCATCTAACTTTTGAAGTTATGTTACATAAAATAATTATTATCAAATTTGAACTTGCAATTTAACAGATTTTTCATTATCTTTCAAATTAAGAGGTGAACATTCAAGTCCTCCTAAAAGCAAATTAGTTTCTTGTTAATGAAAAAAATTATATATATATATATACACAGAGAGAGAGAAAGAGAGAGAGAGAGAGAGAGAGATTAGAATCCACACTTTTATATATATTTTTTTTCTTTTTTATAATTTTTTCAACCATGTACAGTAAAAAAGTGCATATACATAAGCTGACACTCCATCTAACTTTTGAAGTTATGTTACATAAAATAATTATTGTCAAATTTGAACTTGTATTTTCAAACTTATTATTAATCTGATTTTTTATGTAATGAGCCCTAAATATAGATATTAAACACCCCCTCCAAAAAAAATAATAATAAAAATTGAAAGAAGAACACCATATGTACAGATATATATGTGTGTATAAATTTCTATATCTAGGGGGGTGGTTTAGTTCAGGATTATAGTAGTGGAAAATACAAAATTTAAATGAAAAAAAAGAAAGAGAAGTAAATAAGTTGTAGAGATATGTGAAATGTCGCCGTTCATTGTCAGTTATCTACTCCATATACCTTTTGCTTTAGCCAAAATGAACTCTCATCATCATCGTCACGAGTCACGAACCCTAGAGAAGGAGATTGGCTGTGGTGGCTCATCAGCACCTAAAGTTAACAACGATCAGGTGAGTTCTTCTCAACATTGTCTACCATCTTCCATTACCAATGATTTATATGCAGAGTAAAACCCTAGTTCGTTTTAATTGCTCCTCTGTTTTAGATTCAACAATCTATAGACTGTTTTCATCTCTCGAATCCATCTCAACTTCCACGAATCAACACTCATTTAAAGTGAATTACCTCATAAATTCATGTGGGTCGAGTCCAGAAACTGCTATTTCAGCTTCCAAAAAAATCGATTTCAAAACCCTAGAAAAACCAGATTCAGTTCTCAATTTGTTCGAGAACCATGGATTCAGCAAAACCCAGATCTCAAATGTCATCAGAAAACGCCCAAATTTTCTCTTATTGGATACCAAGAAAATCTTTTTGCCTAAATTCGAGTTCTTTTACTCCAATGGCATTTCACCCGAGCTCGCGAAAATGCAATCCGCTGATCCAACTATATTGACATATAGCTTGAAGAACCAAATCATCCCATCTTTCAATTTGTTGAAGAATTTTATTCCTTCAGATGACAAGTTTATCGCTGCTTTTAAACGATACCTACAGATTGTTGGGCGTGATCACAGTGCTATTACATTTCCAAACATTGAAATTTTTAGAGAACATTGTGGAATCGAATATTGTGTACTTAATTACTTATCACCTTAGGGCATTCATGAGAAAGCCTGATAGATTCAATGAGGTAGTGGAGGATGTAAAGAAAATGGGTTTCAACCCTTCGAAATTCCAGTTTGTTGTGGCTGTCGAAGCGTTGATTTCATTGAGCAAATTGACATGGAAAAGGAAGATGGAGGTTTATGAGAGGTGGGGTTGGTCCGAGGAAGAAACAGTGTCAGCTTTTGTAAGATGTCCGGCTTGTATGAAGAAATCCGAGGAGAATATAATGGCAAAGCTGAATTTTTATGTCAACACAATGGGTTGGGAGTCTTCCCCAATCGCCCATGTTCCAGAATTGATGTTACTGAGCTTGGATAAGAGGATTATTCCTAGGTGTTTGGTATTTCAAATTTTGTTGTCGAAAGGTTTGATTAAGAAACTCGTTAGTGCAGGGAAATTGTTGAGGTCCAAAGAGAGTTTGTTCTTGGAGAAGATTGTGAACTGTTACGAGGAAGCTCCTCAGTTGAAATTATATCAAGAAAAATTGGACCTTTCAAAATGACATGGTCGTGATTACCAAGATAAGAGTGGAACATATCAGTTGTAGAATATCTACTTCCTTTTCCCCCATATGCTCTCACACCACCCGTGTTTCGATTTAGGTCATTATGAACAATTTCTTGTTTTTGTATTTGTTTTTCCCTTGGATTTTAATGATCCTAATTCAATTTTTTTGGCAAGTATTTATTCGATTTTGTTACAAAATGCTTAGATATTTTATGCTGCACTAATTTATCTTTCGTTAATCATGTATGCACTTAGCTGAATGATTCATTATTTTTTGTGCAATTCTGACTTTGTGAGATCTTCTTAATCTTTAATTTGAAGCAGATAAACTCAAAAACAGTCATGTTACCGGAAGATTGCTAATTTAATTCAGTTCTGCTTAAATATAATGCTTTTTTTTTTCTTTTTTTTTTTTTTCCCAATTCTCTAAGCAGCTGTTGTGGAATTTAATTTTCATGTTCATATTAATGGGCCTCTAGACATGCATGATAATATAGTTTGATTTTAGAGTGAAGTGTAAAGTGGTGTAAACAAATAGCAACTATTTTTTTTGGCAAGTGTTTATTGGATTTTATTACAAAATGCTTAGATATTTTGTGCTGTGCCGCACTAATATATCTTTCATTAATCATGTCTGCGTTTAGCTGAATGATTCATCATTTTTTTTTTGGGCAATTCTGACTTTGCTAGATCTTCTTAATCTTTAATTTGAAGCAGATAAACTCAATAACAGTCATTTTATTGGAAGATTGCTAGTTTAATTCAGTTATACTTGTTGTGGTGTAAACAAATAGCAACTATTTTCACAGTAGCTTCTTTAGTTTGATGGACATTGTTCATTTTTGTAAACAAAATGCCCAGCTTCCAGTGCAGAATGGCTAATTGCAGGCCTTATAGTTATAGCATAGTAAAAGCCCCGCGCGCACACACACACACACACATATATATATCACTGTCCTTTGACATTAAACTAAGGAGTTTGCAAGAAGTAGTATCTGAAGATACATAAAAATTAAGAAAATTGTTCCATGTCTAGCTGTTCAGATAGGAAGGATACATACCCCCTATTCTTAACTGTTTAAAACGATCATAGTTGTTAAAGGCGCTCCTCTCTTCAAGGCGCTGCCTCAACTTACTGCATGCCAGGAGGCTCACTTAAAGCCCTCAGGCTCGCCCTTTTTAGTAGGCTCGTCACTTAAAAGCCCTCAGACCCGTCATTTTTAGTAGGCTCCTGACTCAAAAAGGCGTGCGATGTATTTTTTTAATACATTAACCATATTCCATTTGCCCTTTATGATGAAATTATGGTTTGAAATTTAAACAGTTCATGATTTACTTGCAACCATTGTGGTGCACAATGTAATTATTCCACTAACATGACGGCATAAAGAGAGAGAACCTGTGTGCATAATTTTCACTTACTGAACAATAATCAACTAGATATGGAGAGTCAAAAAAATGTATTTGAACATCTTTATCTGAAATCATTTAAAAAACATAGTCATTGTCAAAATATGACAAATTTTTATTGACACATTCTGGATCATGATATACTAATTAGTACCACTAGGTAATGAATCAGAAACAGATATTGCAAATCCAAACTAGTTTTGCCTTTTTCATACTTCACAGCTCCTATAGGGAGGGATTATTAGACCCTTGAGATAGTCAGCTTCACTCTCAACGAGTCCACAAAGTTTGCATGCAGTACTTTCCAGACGCATAGTTCGCTGCTACGGTACCATCTGATCATGATTTAAAAAAACCTCTCTTGAATCTTATTATCTACTGCACTTATCCATCATATTATCCCTTTTTTTTTTTTTTTTTGCAAACAAAGAAACTGTTAGTTAACTTTTGCTCTTACTTGATCATGTACAGGCTCAACAATAATATGAACGAGGAGGCAGTTGTGTGCTCTGGTCCTTGGCAAAATATTCTGTCAAATATTTTGGTTTGTATACAAACAGTATGTATACAGTATCTTTTGCTGCTTCAGTTTCAGGAACTGGTCCTTGTGTTCATGCTGGTGAAAAATGATGCTTTTATTGGCACAGGTGTGCTCAACTTACTCTAATCGGAAGTTCTTGAGAGTGAAAAATGAAAAATGGCCCATTGAAAATGTTGACGTTTTTTCGTTCACCGAGATGTCTCTCCTTCTTACTCGAAAAACAAACCGCCATAAACCATCTCAAAGAGATTCATGCTCAACTGATCATCGACGGCCTCAAATCACCTCGCATTTTCGCCAAATTGATCGAACGTTACTGTGCTGTATCATCTCCTCAAGGCACCAACTATGCACATTTAATCCCAACCCAATTTCATGATCAAAATGTATATCTCTTGAATGTTCTGATCAGATGTACTCCTCCCAGAAGCGCCATTCTTGTTTTTGCCAATTGGGTTTCTAGGGCTGAGCTCAATTTCGATGATTCAACTTACATTTTTGTTCTTGGAGCCTGCGCTCGATCTTCTCCAGTTTCAGCATTGTGGGAAGGGAAGCAGATACATGCTCGGATTGTAAAACATGGTTTTTTGTCGAATGTATTTATTCAAACCACTACGATTCATTTCTATGCGCGCAATAAGGATGTTGGATCTGCACGGAAGGTGTTCGATGAAATGGATATGAGAAATATTGTTGCTTGTAATGCAATGATGTCGGGTTATTGTTCACAAAAAGAGAGAGTCAAAGAGTATGCTTATGATGCTCTTTTGTTGTTCCGGGACGTGTTGGTTGATGTTTATGGAGTGGAGGCAACAGATACTACCGTCCTTTGTGTTCTCTCAGCAGCTTCTCAATTGGGTGTTTTGGAAACTGGTGTTTGTGTTCATGGGTTTGTAGAGAAGACAATCTGTCTCCCCGAAAATGATGTATTTCTTGGGACTGGCTTGGTTGACATGTATTCAAAATGTGGGTGTCTAGACAGTGCCTTTTGTGTATTCAATAGAATGAAAGTAAAAAATGTCTTGACTTGGACAGCTATGACAACTGGGCTAGCCATTCATGGGAAAGGTAAAGAAGCTTTGGAGCTTTTGGATGCTATGAAGGCTAATGGTGTTAAACCAAATGCAGTGACCTTCACTAGCTTGTTTTCTGCTTGCTGCCATGCGGGGCTTGTAGAAGAAGGCCTCCATTTGTTCCATAGCATGGAGAGCAAGTTCGGAGTCATTCCGATGATACAACATTATGGATGCATTGTTGATCTTTTGGGCCGTGCTGGGCACTTAAAAGAGGCCTATGAGTTCATAGTTGGCATTAAGTTTAAACGTGATTTGGTTTTGTGGAGGAGTTTGCTAAATGCATGCAAAGTTCATGAGGATGTTGTCATGGGAGAGAAGGTGGGAAAGCTACTTCTCCAGGCACAACACATGCAGGATATAGCTGGTTTAGCAGGTTCGGGTGAAGACTACATAGCTTTGTCCAATGTTTATGCCTCTGCAGAAAGGTGGGAAGACGTGGAGATGGTAAGAGAGGTGATGAAGATTAAGGGAATAGAATTTAACCCTGGAGGCAGCTCAGTTTATTCTCTCAGCAGCCACCTTTAAATGGATTACAGGTCGATAACTCATTAACATTTTTCGGAAAGATAACTCATTAACATTTTTCGGAAAGATTTCGTTAACATTTAGGCAAATGAAAACATTAGAAAACAAGAAAAAAAAAAATCCAAATTGATGTTTTCTAGATATTGTCATAAAATTTCAAAACATTTATTGAATCATGGTGAAGTATAGAAAATTTCAACTTTCTGATTTGTCCTTTTGCTGACTGCAATTTCTGTTCTGACTTCTATTTTTATTCTTCTTGTTTTTTGGTTAGAAATTAATACTGGTAATCTAATACATTCACCATATTCCATTTACCCTTTATGATGAAATTATGGTTTGAAATTTAAACAGTTCATGACTTACCAAAAAAAAAATTTAAACAGTTCATGATTTAACATGACGACTTAAAGAGAGAGAACCTGTGTGCATAATTTTCACTTACTGAAAGTGCCAATAATCAACTAGATATGGAGAGTAAAAATGTATTTGAACATCTGTATCTGAAATCATTTTAAAAACAGTCATTGTCAAAATATGACAACTTTTTATTGACACATTCTGGATCATGATATACTAATTGGTACTACTAGGTAGTGAATCAGAAACAGATATTGCAAATCCAAACTTGTTTTGCCTTTTTCATACTTCACAGCTCCTATAGGGAGGGATTATTAGACCCTGGAGATAGTCAGCTTCACTCTCAACGAGTCCACAAAGTTTGCATGCAGTACTTTCCAGATGCAGTTCACTGCCAGTCTGCCATGGTGCCACCTGATCATGATTGAAAAAAACCTCTCTTGAATCTTATTGTCTACTGCACTTATCCATTATATTATCCTCTCTTTTTTTCTTTCTTTTTTTTCTTTTTTTTTTGACATAGAAACTGTTACTTAACCTTTGCTCTTGCTTGATCATCTACAACCTCAACAATAATATGAACGAGGAGCCAGTTGTGTGCTCTGGTCCTTGGCATAAGATTCTGTCAAATATTTTGGTTTGTATACAAACAGTATGTATACAGTATGTTTTGCTGCTTCAGTTTCAGGAACTGGTCCTTGTGTTCATGCCGGTGAAAAATGATACTTTTATTGGTACAGATGTGCTCACCTCGTACTCTAATCAGAATGGGTTGGGAGTCTTCCCAAATCACCCATGATCCAGAATTGATGTTACAGAGCTTGGGTAAGAGGATTATTCCTAGGTGTTTGGTACTTCAAGTTTTGTTGTCGAAAGGTTTGATTAAGAAACCTGTTAGTCTAGTGACATTGGTTTTTTTTTTTATTCCTAGTTGGTATTCACACGCACATGCCTCCACCGAGGTTCGAACCCCTTACCTCCCTTTGGAAAGTAGGAACCTATCCAAAGAGAGTTTGTTCCTCAAGAAGTTTGTGACCTGTTATGAGGAGGAAGCCCCTCAGTTGTTGAAACTATATCAAGAAAAATTGGGCCTTTGAAAATTACATGGTCATGATTACGAAGGCAAGAGTGGAACATACCAGTTGTAGAATATCTACTTCCTTTTTCACCATCTGCTCTCACACCACCCGCGTTTCGATTTAGGTCATTATGAACAATTTCTTGTTTTTGTTTTTCCCTTGGATTTTAATGATCCTAATTCAATTTTTTTGGCAAAGTATTTTTTCGATTTTGCTACAAAATGCTTAGATATTTTGTGCTGCGCTAATTTATCTTTCGTTAATCATGTATGCACTTAGCTGAATGATTCATTATTTTTGCGCAATTCTGACTTTGTGAGATCTTCTTAATCTTTAATTTGAAGCAGATAAACTCAAAAGCAGTCATGTTACCTGAAGATTGCTAAATTAATTCAGTTCTGCTTAAATATAACCTTGTTTTTTCTTCTTTCAATTCTCTAAGCAGCTGTTGTGGAATTTAGTGTTCGTGTTCATGTTAATGGGCCTCTAGACATGCATGATAATATAGTTTGATTTTAGAGTGAAGTGTAAAGTGGTGTAAACAAATAGCAACTATTTTCAGAGTAGCTACTTTAGTGTGATGGACATTGGTTCGTTTTTTTTAAACAAAGTGCCCCAGCTTCCAGTGCAGAATGGCTCACACACACACACACACACACAAAACTTAAGGAGTATGGAATGATACGTCCTCATTCATAACTGTTTTAAACAATCAGGACTACCTATAATTTGTGTATTCTTGACATTTGAGGATTCAGGTTAAGTATACAACATGAGAAGTTTGTGAACTGTTGATGATGAAGCTCCTCAGTTGTTGAAACTATATCAAGAAAAATTGAACGTTTCAAAATTACATGGTTGTGGTTATGAAGGTAAGAGTGGAACGTATCAGTTGTAGAATATCTACTTCCTCTTCCACCATCTGCTCTCACACTAGCAGCTTTCCGAATATTGGGTCATACGAATTTTTTTTTTTTTTACCCCCCTTGGATTTTGGTGATGTTAGTTCAATGTTTTTGGCAAGTATTTATTGGATTTTATTACAAAATCTTTAGATATTTTGTGATGTGCCGCATTAATATATCTTTCATTAATCATGTATGCGTTTAGCTGAATTTTTTTTTTTTTTTTTTTTTTTTTGCGCAATTCTGACTTTGCTAGATCTTCTTAATCTTTAATTTGAAGCAGAGAAACTCAATAACAGTCATTTTACTGGAAGATTGCTAGTTTAATTCTGTTGTGCTTAAAGTGGTGTAAACAAATAGCAACTATTTTCAGAGTAGCTTCTTTAGTTTGATGGACCTTGTTCATTTTTGTAAACAAAGTGCCCAGCTTCCAGTGCAGATTGGCTAATTGCAGGCCTTATAGTTATAGCATAGTAAAAGCACATGCGCCACACGCACGCACGCACATATATATCAGTGTCCTTTGACATTAACCTAAGGAGTTTGCAAGAAGTATCTGAAGATACATAAAAATTAAGAAAATTGTTCCATGTCAAGCTGTTCAGAAAGGAAGGATACATGTCCCCATTTATAACTGTTTAAAACGACCATAGTTGTTAAAGGTGCGCCTCTCTTCATGGCACTGTCTCAACTTAGTGCATGCCAGGTTCCTTCAATGAAGCTCGCTTAAAGCCCTCGGGTCCTCACCCTTTTTAGTAGGCTCCTCACTTAAAAAAGGCCCTTTCAAAGAGACTCACTTAAAAGCCCGGTGTATTTTAAAAATCATTTTTTTTATTTAATTAGTACTTAGTTAAGAAAAGGTATATCATATATCATATTGATTAACCTAATAAAAAATTTAACAAAATTCTCTTATGCTCCATTTTGTTAGATGGAAGTAACAAGAAAAGAAAGAAAATGAAAATTTACTGAACACTCTTGAAGTTAGAGGGAAAATTACTTTTCATAAGCACCTAATTTTTACATAAAATTTCTTACAAAAAAACACAGTAAAATTTTGATTTCTAGAGAGAGAGTGAACTTATAACAATGTCTTCATGCTAGTCAAACCTTACAATGGTAATTTCTCTTAATATTTATTAAAAAAAAAAAAAAAAAAAAAAAAAAAAAAAAAAAAAAAAAAAAAAAATTGCACGATGAAAATCATTTACTCCACTTTCTTTTCTTTTTTTTTTTAACTTTCAAGTATTAATTTTCATCTAACCAAACAGAGCTGGGAACAAACAGGTCATATTGGCAACTCTGGTGATTCTGCCCTGTTTTATCTCTTAATCCTGAAAACAGCTTCATTTGCAGATGATGAGCAGTTAAAACCAAAATTGTTGTGCTATCTGCTGAAAGATGAAGATAAAAGTATTGGCTAATCCAACATTGATGGTACAGAAGAAAATCAAATAACACAATTTAAAGCGCAACATACAAGGAGAACTGCAATTGGAAAGTTGCCATTATAGATGGAGCTGTTCTAGCCAGCAATAATATAATCAATTAAAGGTGACTAATTGGGTCAATATCCCAATGAACTGAAGCATAAAGAATATGAATTCTACCAATATAAACCCACAAGAGAGATCAAAATAGAAACATTTGCCAAGACAGTTCTTCTTTGAAACCTCCATTGCAGTGGGGTCTTCTGTTTGTTCCTACTGCTCTCCGCTGCACTGGGTTCCACAAGGGCTTACGCCCCCACAAATTCGCTTCTGCAGATGCTCCAAGCTAGCCACTCGCTGCATTGAAGCTGTTCTGCCCATCTTGTTTCCCCCAACTGCTGCCGTCGCAGGATTTTGCTGCACATTATCTACTCTTGGAATGTTTACTAAACCATTGTGAATGCTGGGGTCATGGTTGGGTATATGATTATTAGTAGCAGGTTGACAGAAGCGCTGTTGTGGGTCGTCTTGGACAGGAACGGCAGCATCTGTCGATGTGTCAGAAGGGCTACCCGCAAATGATGGCATACCCATTGTCGATATCTCAGACATGGCTTGAAACACAGAGTTTGAACCCGTAATTCTTTTTACTGTCTCTTCAGCCATCTTTACCTGTAAATAATAACATAAGCAATTTCAATATCTTGTTACACACCAATTAGATCTCTACATTATTACTACTACTTCATCCCACACCCTCCTAGAAGAACCATAATTTGTCAGGTTTTAACCCCAGAATTCCAAGTCAACTCAAAAGAGGCAAGCTTTTCACCAGGATTAAGTAGGCACCCAAAAATGGGTTTTCAAAAATGACCACCTCTCAACTTTAATAGCAACTGTAATGGACCTGTTACCTTTGCTCTCAATGTTTCAACGTCGGCTTTTAGAACTCTATTGTCAACAGCTGCTTCAGTGTACTTCTGGTTTACATCAGATAGACGCTTCAACAGAGAAGAATTTTCAACTCTTAATTGAGAAACCTAGGAGGAACCGTGAAGATTTCATTAGAAAATCAGCCAACGATAATATAAGTAGAGGCAATGTCCAAGACAAGAGACCAAACCTGTGTCTCCAGCTCAGTCAAATGGGCCTGTTTTCGTCTTCTTGATCGTCTAGCTGATTCTCGGTTTGATAGCATTCTGACAAACAAAAATAGATAAATTGAAAGGTATTGAATTCAACAACAAAATGTGTCTGTAGAATGCAATTGCCCAATTAATGGAAAGGACACAAAGGTTCATTAATGGATTTCAATATTCTAGGGTGTTAAATGCATTAAAATCTAAGTAATTCTACGTCTGTTAAGCAAAAGCAGTGTGTCAAACATAAGAGATCAGCATCAAACACGCACATATTGATACAAAATTTGAGCAAGCAAATAGTGCTGATTGAGCCTCCAACCTCATTTGTTGAGAACAAATACAACTTCCGAATTAATTATCTGGAAAGCATTGCTTTTAATAAAACTCTTTTTGAGTTTTCAACCTTCAAAAGGAATCAAAAGGGAGATTCTTCTCGCCATTACCTAGATCCACCTATAGTAAGAAATACTTTACCCCTATTTGGCCAGCAAAAAAGGTTATGTATTTGGCTTCTACAAGCCTTGTGATCCGTTTAAAGGCATGATCTCCAGCTGTGTTGCATGCACTCTTCAAGGGTATAGGTGAAGTACCCATGTTGAACACACAACACTTGGACACACATCCGACACATGGATACATATATCCGCACCCGATACATGTTCTCGAGTCCATGTAACATAAATCTCCAGTGTGTCCTGTCATGTCCTAGTGCCCCTCAGATAAATACTGAGGCCCGCATCTGTGAGGACTTATTATGATCGACACCCAGCTCACCTCGTAATAGCTGCCAACAACATGAACCAAAATACATGACAAATTGCATATATCAGATGACTTGCTGTTGGAACAGCAAGTTTCCGTGTCTTTTTGTAGATATTTTATTGAGCAGAATTTTCTTTTTTAGAAAATCTGACTGGCAATTTTTATGACTTTGCTGTCTAGAATTCCAAAACAGATTTAAATGGAAGTAGATAGAGCCCTAGAAAATAATTATTCCCACAATTATGTGATACACATTGAAGAAAACAACTGGAACATATTGTTTTTAAAACCATTTGACCAACCACCAAATGATAGCTGCACCTACTCATCACATAATATAAATTATAGCACACTCCAGCATCTACTAGCATCAAATTGCTAATCAAGTAAGCTTATTAGCAACAAAATTTTTTGAAACCATGATTACCTCCTTACACGTTTTGCATCAGCAGGATCCATATTCTCAGTTGATTCTGTTTCTCCTTCGAGCTCATCATCATCTGACAGGTCTCTTGATGATCCACTTGTTGTTGACTTCACCTGAACTCCAGATTTCTTTTGCATGGCAGGCAAGGAAGGAATTCCAAGTGGTCCACTAGCTTCTTTATCTTGTCCCTTCACTGAATCACAACCAGATCCTACACACACACACACACACAGATAGATAGAGAGAGAGAGAGAGAGAGAAGAGATAAGAAAAGAAAAGAAAAGATGAATAGATTCTGTAATATAACTCTCATGCTTTCATGCTACATTCAACAATATATATGCTGATAGGAAAGACTAAACCAGAGAGGGGTTCAGGACGAAATATTTATAACAAATAACAAGTGGCTAATAGGTGCAGAAACTTTTACCAACAGATTCAGAACTTCCAATTTGCACATCATCTCATCGGAACTCTTGTCAATGCCACCAATTGTTTGTAATTTCTTCATCCTAACTGCCTCATATGAATTTTTTAATTATGAATATTTTTAACTCACTCCACCCATGTACTTTTTGGCTCTCTATTACTCCTCTTTTTGTTTTTTTGGATAAGTAACTCTCTATTACTCTTCTGATTCACACTCCTCACCACCTCTATGTTATTTTGTTCTTTTCTCATTTTGTTTTCCTATTCATATACGTCCAAATATTTTTCAATAATATTCCCTCATTTATTTTAGTAATTTGGTAGCGTATAATGCCTTTTAGTGATAAGTGTAACGTATAGAGTAATAAGTATGAATGTTTACCAATTACACAACTGTTCTCAAAAAAAATTTGTAGCTCAGTCTTCAGTTTACTACATAAAGAAGGAGATAAATAAATAAGAAAGAACAAAACATGATGAACAACGCTTTGCAGTTCATCATCTTTCAACACTTCTCACACTAAGCAAGCTATGAAGACCAAAAGTGGATTTTATACAGAAAAACCTTGGCATCAACAAAATAATCATTCAAAAAGCATAATAGTTCTTAAAATTGGTTGTAGGAGAAATAATAGTGTACAATACTTTGCTGAAAAAGTACACCAATTCTACTCAGAACTCACAGCTTATGAGACAGAAAAGGTAAATGCAAAGAAATAGTTCCAGGTTAAGTTAGGAAATTTTCAATTCACTCTTGAGTAACTTATCTTTACTGTCGCCTAATGCAACAGCTATGATGTAATTGGTAGATGTAATATTTGTGTATATATGTACGCATGCATGCATATTATCTATAACTTAATATTAAGGCAATATTGTCATGAAGTGTATCACTAATTCTGCTCCTGTGGGATAAATCTGACCCATTCTATTCCTACCTACGTGGAGGGATATTCAAAGAGGTGGACATCTTTCTTGACGAATATGGAAGTGAGTTCACAATGTTTCTGACCAGAAAGTGTGTGTTGTGTGTCTGTGTGTTTGAATGCAGGCTGCATATCATACATGCACTCCCAAATCATGGGAAACAATAAAAAAAATCTAAAGATTCAGAGATTCTAACCTTTACAAGGAGCTTGAGGTCCCAACTGGGAAGTATTGGAAGCCTGTGAACCATTGTCAATTACAGTAGCAGAATCTTGAGGTTTTACATATGATGCCTATCGACATGATTTGAACAAAAATAAGTTAAGCAAGGCTTGCGAATTTTTTGAAACAAGGATAAAAGTAAAGGACAACATTATGTTTTATAATGTACTGAATCAAGAGCTAGCGTTGCAATTCTGTTTATCCCCTTGAGAAGTTTATATTGCTAGAGGTCCAAAAGGAAATGTAAGCAAGTCATTCACCAGCCAGCTTCCAAGTAGTATATTGGAATGTGAATTACAAGTTTTGATAAAATCTTATAGCTTATTTTATCTTTTTCCTTCTAAATTTGAAATTTATCAAAAAAAATTCTTATTACTGTCCGCACCAAAAATATATATAAAAAAAAATAATAATAATAATAATAAAAGGGTAATGTGCAAACGTTGCTGAAGAACTTCACAACCTTGGCTTGATCAAAAAAAAAAAATTCCATGTTTTTTGTGTTATTTTTATCTTCCATAGATCTTTAATATTTAAGAAGGTTAAGAATAAAACTACGTTTTTTTGGATGCATTCAACAGACGGGAAAACAAAAGATATAGCTTCAACTTAAAGCAAAGAGAACCATAAACAGATGAAATAGAAGACTACACAAACAGACTGCATAAGTTTGGAATGGGTGTTTCTCCTAGTCATGGTTTTTTCTCTTTTACAGATTGTTATCTATCAAGACCCTGAACCAAGTTTTTAAAGGGTTGATAGTACAAAAAGATACCCAAAACTGTCAGACAAGATTGGTGAAGAACTTCAATCAGAGTGATTTGGAGCTAAGAAGTACACTAGGAGGGTACTGGAGAGCTACATGCCTCACATGTCCAAGTTGAGTTAAATTGCTTCTTATGATCCTATTCAATTCTATAATATATCCTAGCTATTCCAGTTTCTAATTGCTACACCTCTCACTCGCTAACACCTACCAAAACTCCACAGTAAAAAGGGAAAGGATATTTGAAATTTTAATTCCATGAAAGGTTTACATAAGAAATTTTTGCCTTTCAATATACAAATTTCACACAATTCAAGGACTAGAGACTAGAGATAGACATAACCAGAGCCCACATCTAAAATTTACATCAATCCAAATAGAACGAACGTTCCAAAACATCAAAACCATAAGTCCACTGTATAAAATGAATGCAGGAACAAATGCATCTTCGGTTTTATTAAATCCACTTTTTGGAGTGAAAGAACTGATGTCTATCTATATAGAATGTGGCCCTTGTAGTAGAAACAATGCTCAAACACAGTGCAAAAGAGATTTTCTACAGGCAAAACCAAGTAAAAAATAAATTCACTTGCATGCAAGTGACAAATAGATTAGAGAAAGTAAACTGTCAGATCAGAAACTAAAATTAGTAACAGGCAATTTCAAATAAGACATTCGATCTAAATGCAGCAATAATTTCCAATCAATTTAATAACACAAAAAACTTGCATAATGAGAGAAAATCCAGATGATTGAAACAATGGTAAAATCTGGTTGAGCATATGAAATATTTAATTCCCATAACTGGGGGAAAATGAAATGAAAAAAGGATTATGGACACAAACAACCAATCATAAAAATGCTGATGCTCTGTTTGGTAGCTGAGAAAACTGGGGAAAAGAAAACAAATTGAAAAAAGTATATACATATTGAATCTCAGATTTGGTGTTGCGGAGATGAGTTTATTAGAGGCTCGAAACCAAATTAGAGTCCAACATAAAAAAAACATCAAATTCATCCTATTTCTTTCCTTTCCTTCAATTTCTCGGCAACCAAACACCCCCAAAAAAATTACACAATCGAAAACAATTTTTCCATAACTGGGGAAATAAGAGAAGAAAAAAGGACCATGAACACGCACCAACCAAACATAAAAATGATGATGCTTTGTTAGGTAGCTGAGAAAATTGTGAAAAGGAAAAAAAAAAAATAAATTGACACTCAGATTTGGTGTTGCGGATCAAAGTTTATTAATGGGTTGGAAACCAAATTAGCGTCAACCCTAAAATCACGAAATTCATCATCCCGATTTCTTTCCTTTCCTTCAATTTCTCGGCAACCAAATACCCCAAAAAAAGTAAAAAAGGGGAAACAAAACAAAATTTACCCGAGACATGGCCACAGCAGCACAAGCCAAATTGAGTCGACTCTTGAGGAACGCCTGGTACTCCTCTGAATCGATGGGAATGTTGGGAGGAGCCGAATCAGACGACGTCGTGGAACCCGCAGTCATCGTCGCTTGATGACGACGACGATGATCCTGGTCATCCCTGATCTCGACGACGTCGCTCTTGGGCATCGCTGACGAAGCCCCACCATCACCAACGGAAGAAGAAGCCGGAACGGAGGGGGGAGGTGGGGAATTATCCGATGCGGACGCCTCCTGGAGGAATTTCTGGAACGCCCACTCTGATGAGCTCCGATTCATCATCTTTGACTCTTCCTCAGCTGATGCTTGCTCCAAGCATATCGGCGGCGGTGACCAGAATTGGCCGGCAATGTCGTCCACTGAAAACACCCTATCCATCTCTCTCGCACACACTGTAGTTTCTCTCTCTCTATCTATCTCTCTCCAAGTGACTTTTTGTATTGGGTTACGTTAGTCTACAGCTATGTCTACAGTGTGTGTGTATATATATATATATCTAAATGTCCCTCTAAAGACTTTTACTAATTAGTACTGCTATTTAAAAATAAAATAATTAAAAATAAATATTGTACTACTCTTTTTTCCTCATATCACATGGTTTTTTAAATCAATGCCTTACATTATTATCTTTAATTATGCAATGTATTTGGTAAGTAATGTGGACCTATATATATAAAGTTATATGTTTATAGAAAATTATTATTGCCTCTATTTTAACATAGTTGTCCACTTCATAAACAATGATTTACAATTATATTGGGGCTAAGGTAGTAAGAGTTTAAGATGATGATTATTTAACTTATATATTAATAAGGAAAATGGTAAAAGTGTTTAACCATTTTAAATGAATTCCAAGTGTCAAATATTGATTGAAATGGTATAAAAAGGGAGAGTTTATCTTATTGGTTGTTCAATAAAAGTTCTTACACAGTTTATTGAAAAACAAAAAAAAGAGCAGTAATTTAATGACCAAATTCTAATACTTACCTAATTGAATTTATTTGAGAGGGATGATGGGTAAAAATGTGTAAATACTCTGATCACTTTTTGGTGAAAGCTAAATTAAAAAATATAGTGTTTTAGTGTGTAAAAATTGAATCTTGGCTCATTCAAAAGCTAACATTTTCATCTCTCAAGATAAGTACGTTCTTGATTTCGAAGGCCACTCCTAAATTATTCATATGAGTATATATGGTCCAAAAACTAAATCTAAAACCTCACAGATAATGAAATATGGCATAAACATGGTGAATTCTATATATGTAAGACGTCATGATGACATCATATAATAGAACTCAACACCACACTCACATAAATTAAATTAAATAACTACCTAATTCAATCCTTAAATTATTATTTTAAAAAAAGAATCTATTGAAGTATGATAGATTATTCAGCATATTCTTTCTAATAGTACTCACATCACATGGTTTCTAGAACCAATGTCTTTCATTGTTATCTTTAATTATGCAATATATTTGGCAACTAAGTATTATTAGGAGCTATATCTAAGAAGTTACGTGTTTATAGAAACTATAAGGAGTTTAGGATTGTGATGAGTTGATCTATTTTCATGTTCTTACACCATCTTAGTCTATGAATGGTAAAATGTGTAATTTTACTTGTATATTTTGTTTTTATTTTAATTTTTTATTAATCGGTACTTGCACACAAATATCTTTATTGAGATTCGAACCCTTAATCTCTCTTTAGAAAATAAGGATATGATACCGTTAAACATTGACCTGTTGATGCTTTCTCCGTTGGTATTCTTTCCGGTCTTTACACATTTCACTGCTCCAGCAAAAATTCCATCGGCCCCTATCGTATCCAATGCCTTTCCAGGGTTGAGTCCCGAGATACATTCATAGCATACTCTCTCTTTTCTTTTTTTTTCTTTTTTTTTTTGCCAATAACTCTCTCAATGCTCTTGTGAAAAGTCGAATTGTATACTTTTGACTTTATATATATATATATATATATATATATATATATATATATATATCTCACAAACGTAACATTATGAATGTTCACAACGTAGGTAATGTAATGTTGTAGAGTACTGAGAATTTCAATTTCAATGCCTAATTATATCCATGACTTGTTGTTTTAGCTTTGTATGTATTATATTGTAAAATTAAATTTTAATACTATCATTACTTTACAAAATTACTTTTCGATTTTGAAATTTTAGATAGTGTCAATTTATGCACGCTTCAATTTTTACAATTAAATAAAATAAAAAATTCCAATGTCATTTTAATGTTTTATGTTAATATTATTAAAAAGCTAAAATTTGTTTTTGATATTTTACATGTATAAGAAAAATGACAAAAATATATATATATATATTATTAATGACAAATTTTCTTGACAAAATTGACATATTTAAGTGTTGGTAACAGTAACCTGACGTGGCAAATAAGGGGCCGTTAGAATGGTCCCAATTCCCAAATCCCAACCTTTTGGGTATTGTGTGCTTGATAGCCACTTTAGATTATAGAGGGCCCACACCCATCAATTTTGAATGATACGCCGTTGGATTTGTCCGAAACTAAAGTCAGCTAATAAGTAAGACAATCTAAAGGTCAATATGATTTTGGTAATTTACACCTGAAAGCGGAGTAGTATTTCTTTGGTGGCTTTTGTCTTTCTTAGTGATAAGAAGAGATGACTTTTTGTCCAATTGGATGGTATCCTTCAGATGCGGCGGCCCACTGTAGATAAACGTTGTATAGTGGGGCCCAATTTATTTTGCACTTCAAAGCCTCAAATTTCTGTGTTTTTTGTGTGCTTTTCTTAATTCATATTTTATTACTATTTTTAATCCTTTATTTTTAATTTTTATTATTATTGTGTTATCAAGCCCAGAGGGTAGCGTTTGGCAATTTTGTTTGAGTGACAGACACCGCGTTTGGAAGGAAATAAGTGGGTGGAAGAATAGAAAGGAAAAGGACAAATGTAACTCAAAGCGAGTTGGTGTGAATGTAAGGAAAAGAAAGAAAGAAAAGAGACAAAAATAACGGGATAATTTAATTCTCTAATACTTTTTCATTGGAGGAAATAGTGGAAAATAATTATAAAATTGGAAGAAATTTAAAATGGGTAGAAATTTAGTTTATAATTTGTACTGGATTTTTTTTAATCCTAAATTCATAACACCAATTTCATGCCGCCAAACATATCATAAATATTTTACCTAAATTTTTTATGAAGCCTAAAAATACATGCAAGTTACAAACAATATAAAATAATTATTATTTTGTCATTGTATGCCAATAGAAAGTTGTTGCATTCTATTGTGAAATTTAATCGAAAACACAAGAAAGAGATCAAACATACACAATAAGAATACACACATTTTACTTGATTCACCCAAAATTTAAAATTACATCCAAGGGCTGCGGGAATTTCAGTATGATGATAAAAACAACGAATACAGAGTTCAGAATGAATATATATACTTTCACTAAGATAATATAATAAATACAAAAATTATCTAAATAATCTCAAAAAATTTGAAAAATTAGACCTAATTTACCGTAGCTACCAAACTTCATACTACCCATCACCTTCTCTCTCCACTAAGAGAGTTGGTCCTTTAAATTAAATGTTAAGATGGCCCAATTAGATGGCCCTCTAATGATTCTTACACACACTAAACTAATTTGCTTTGCTTTAGACTTAATTAATCAGTATAAATTAAACATCACTCCCTTTGTTCTAAAGTAATAGTATTTCTTGATGAGTGTAAGACAATCAAATCAAACATCATCTTATATTATACCTTGTCTACCTCTCTTAAATAAAAAGTTGTCCCAATTGTGACATACATATTTTTTATACGTATAATTAACAAACCAAGTATTTGTATTTATAAAAGTATAAAATTTCAAAAATAAACTTCTATTCATATATGTTAATACGAATGCATCCAATTGGATCATTGGATGGTGTATGGAAAATTTTATCACACATTTTATCTAGACTAAATGATCACTAAGTACTAATTTTTTTTATAAAAAAAAAAAAAAAAAATGAACATGCATCATTAAAAATAATGTGAAAATTACATTTGTTTGGGATAAAAAAAATAGTATAAAGTCCTATGCCTGCAAGCTTCCTCTAAAAAACCTTCCATTGTTCTGTAATTTACATAAACACACGAGCTATATATATATAAACACACACAGAAAGAGGGAGCTATATATACATGAGGGTTAGGGTTTGTGGACGTGTTAAAGCATATAAGCCATCGTCAAAATCTACGCACAATAACGAGTATTTCACCCTGAATGATTCTATACTTGCACCACAATGTAGTGATAAAATTCGATTGACCCATCTCACAAACCTATGCTTGTCCTGCTGTTCAGAGCTGGCCTCTCAATTTTTCAGTTGGTGCATTCGACCGTCATTTCCAATCATGTTTGTAACATCAAAAACAAGGTTTAATTTTGTTCCCCACAAGAATCTCCATCTTCTTGAAAGAATGCTGGTTCTGACGGCCTCTCTCATAGTCAGCCGTGATATGATAGAACAAATAATTTCCTCTGGCAACTTAGTAATTCGATCATCCACTGTGATACTGTCATTCTTTATTCATTTCAAAGAAAATGGTCATGAATATATGAATGAAGATAAATTTTGCTTCGTATTATTGCAAATTAGCATAAATTAACATTTTGTAGGGACTAAAAAAATCTAATCACGAGAGAACATTAAAGTTTATATTACTTGTGATGACCCTGTGGGCGGGTGTGCCGTGGGCGGGTGCGAGAGACACTGTCAGGCTACCACACTGGCGAGCTACGGGTACACAATCTCACATCGCCTGGGTAGAGGGAAGGTGAAGTGCTTATATGTAAGTGTGTCATCTCCAATTGGTATGAGGCCTTTTGGGGTGAAGTCCAAGAGTAAAACCGTGCGGGCTCAGTCCCAAAGCGGACAATATCATATCATGTGGTGGAGTAGGTCGTTACATTACTCACTTCAACATCAATAATATTTGACGTGGATTTCCTCTTTCTACTGCAAATCACATTCCTTGACAAACAATCCTCCATAATCTTGTCAATCTATAAATTCCAAATGAAGCTCTATTAAGTATGCAATCACATAAATCAAGTTAACCGATCTGAAAGAATTTATTTTTATGTTTGTACTTTGTAATCTTTATTATCTCTTTGAAAAACAAAAACCAATAGCAGATACTCAACTTTGGATAGAGTAGGCATCTTAGAAGTTATCTTCTTTAATGAAGTCTAGCCTGAATTACCTCTGGTGTGGAAAATATTCAGACAAATGTTGCTAGATCCTTCATCAGACGCTCTTGACCACTCTTTTTTGGTCAGCTATTGTAATGATGACCAGCATTACTTATAACTAAATGAAGAAAAATAAAACGCAAATATAATACTCCCAATGTCCCAATATAAGTGTCACTTATGGGAAGTAGTA